CGCGTGCTTGGGCAGACATGAACGACAAGGAATTTTGGCCTTCATCTGCATCAAGATTGGAAGACACACGCATAGCGCTTTCTTCTCCACCAGGAGTAAGGCCTTGCAATGCAGCTTGGACGCTGTTCCACAGATTTAGACCCCTTTCTGGGTTTGCCAACGTTTCTAACCAAGAAGCGTCTGCATCCCGAGCATCTGCACCTTTAATATCCCAGTCTTCACGTTGCGCCGGTAGAGCCTCCTGCAGTTTTTTCTCCTTTTGCATTATCACGACAACTGCATCGTCTTCGGAAGACATCAGTTTTCGGGTTAGTCGCAAGTCGTGAACTAAAACTCGACTCGGTAAGATTCGTCTTTCACTGGGCGTTTCTTGCGTTTCAGTTTCTCCTGTTGAGGACCTGGCGCGAGCAGCAGAAGCTGTAGGATCATCAATATGTTGGCTTGACGCGTTGAGCTTGTTGACCACCGTCCTCGCACATGAAGATGATGCACCTCCAACTCCAACACTAAGCCGTTGAAACGCCTCTCCGAGGTCCATATGAGGCGTTTGCTCTCTTGCTCTCCATGGAATCGCCGCGCCCTCTTGAGGATTGTCGCAGTGATGCTTGTGACCGGACCCGATCTTAAATTGATCCTTTAACTTGTGTCTCAGAGACATGAGAAAAGCGGCAAGGGTATCAATCTCTTTGTGCCACATATCTGCTAATTAGAGGTACTAGTCTCTCACAACTATTCCTGGTATGGTTCAGTAGCTAGTCAGTACAGGGATGCCCTGCTGCGTGGTCCTCCATTACGTGGTGTGTATATTCTACTCTAAAATATAAAAATAAAAAATCACAAGAATTGAGAACACTATTACTACTTGCCAAGAATTGAGAACACTAAAATCACAAGAAAAACAAAAACCAGTCTCAGCAACAGTCAGAATCCTTGTTCGCGGACGTGGGATAGCGAAGATAAAAAAGTTAAAATAGCCACCTTAAGTGATTGTTGCTCTCTCGCTGTCAACTATGCATGTTCGCCATTCTCGTGTCGTCTGCAGTGTTTGCTGCGGACCATGTAGTGCCCACATCTGATACAGGAGGAGCTTGAATTCAAACATCGCAAGACTGATGATCCGGCGCGGTGAGTAAGATTGTAATATTTCTGGGCAGCTTTCCGGATTTGGCGGCGATTTCTTGATACGTTGAAATAGACAAAAAAAGCACTTCAGCCAGCAGAGCCGGTTTCCAGCACTCTCAGCCCTATTTTTCTCTTTCTCAAGCAGTGCTGGTATAATCATTCTTCGTGCCCTTGTGCGATACTGCTCCGAATATGACATTCTCGGCTGCAATACAAGTTGAGCGTCAACGCTTCTGGAGGTAGGGGTAGGTGACACAGCAGGTTGAGGATGGAGGTTAATGATATTCCCCACATCATAGAACAAGATCGAGACAGCGTGCGGGTCCCGGAATTTAAAATAATCTATGTGATCGTGATGTTCATGTAGGTGGTTATTGTGTTTCTGTTTCGCGTTTCGTTTTTGGATCGCATGGAGCTGTTGCCTTAGCGTGTCCAAAATTGCACCTTCCCTGCGATGGTTCTTGAGCCTCGAAATCATATTGCCTTGTGAGTCCTCTGCAGTAGGCCTCTCAGTAAGCTGCTGCACGTTCTTGTGCTGCTGTTGCTCGTTGTCGTGCTCCTGGACACCTCTGAATATTTCCGTTTGTTCTCTACCTCTAGCGTGGTCATAGTGTGCTGCGAGAAGCATGTCTCCATCAACTACAGTTTTTTTCATCATGGTTGCATTTTGTATTCCCCTTTTCTCAGTCTTTCTCCTCGCCGGCTCCACGTGAAATCTCAACCTCTCTTGCTCCTTGTGGAGTGCCTCCAACCTCTCTTGCCCCTTGTGGAGTGCCTCCAACCCCTCTTGCCCATTGTGGAGTGCCTCCAACCTCTGCTCCTCATCGCGGATTTTCCTCTTGATCGTGTTTTCTTCCTCTATGTCCTCTGAAGAGACAAGGGATTGAAAACCAAGGTACACTTCATCTGGTGTTGGAGGCGGTGGCTCTTTACTCGCATCTACTGCACTGAAAAGAAAGAACGAGCGTCGTTCTCTTTCTCCACTTGAAGGTATTGCCCTTCTTTCTCCACTTGAAGCTGCTCTTCTTCTTTCGCCACTTGTTGCAGCAGCTGGCGCTCCTCTGTTTCGAGCCGGGTCCTCGTGCTGCTTTTCTTCTTGCCCTCCCATGGTTATGTCCTCATCAACATCATCAGACTCATTATCCGACGCATCATCAGACTCAGGTGATTTTTCCATTTCCATACTCGCGCTAGTTGTCGCCACGGGCACCTCTTTTGCCATCATTTTGTTTTTGATTTTTTCTTAGAAGCACCTACTAGACAGAGGCAAAAAGCCGAAGAGTAGAAACATCACTGGTATAGAAGTTGTTAGATCTTCATGAACAGGTTACATATACAGGCGCATTCGGGATTCTTCACATCAAGGATCAAGCCTACCTTCATCATTCATTGTTCCTCTCGGTCTCCTGTTACTTCATCGTCTTGATCTCTGCTCACATACTTATTTCTTATTGGTAGAAGCCCAACTAGTAACTGCAAGTGTAAAAACTTCTAATGGTTCTAGTTATAACACTTCTACTCCTCAACGTCATCGTCAACAAGAATCATAAGAAAAAATGTTGCAGTGTTTGTGTTACAAATTTTCAGGTCATAAAAGTCCTCCTTGTCCTTGGCCGTCGTCCCCCACACTCCCTGAGGCAGCTCGAGATACGGCAAGGGCTTCGTTAGCGCAATCGTGTCTAATAGAGCATGATGTTTAGACGAAGCAACCAGGGGTGGTAGAGGAGCTTCGCGATGAACCCTCACAAATTCGGCGAACCTAATGAAAGGGCACACGTCGGTGTCCTCTTGATGTTGAACTCCTGGAGCAGCTGCATGCATTTTCACACCAGCTACGAGTAAGATTCCTGATCCTCCACGATCGTGATCCTCCACTACTTAGATCTTCCCGGAATCCATCCTGAGAGTCATCTTGCGTCTCTTTTACCCTTACAGAGGTCCGCCAAGATGCTTTTCAAAATGGGAGATTAGGATTCCCGGAAGCCTTAAACTATACTATAATTATACTTGTCGTGCACTGATGTTATGCTATTCTTACTACTTGAAGAAAAGAAGATGTTGATGTTGCAGAAGAGATAGAGAACGAGGCCACTGCTCCAGAGACTCCAGAAACTCAGAAAGATCATGTTGTCCACGACACGGCATCGCCGATAGAGCATGTTGATGCTGGTGCTGGTCTCCGTGTCCCGTTGTTGCGTTACCAAAGCAGGTCGTCGTCGAGAAGCGGATGTAGTTGACCTCCTCCTCCAGTCCAACGTCGAGGACGCTGTAGACCTCCGTCTGCAACTCGCCAGAGCTGCCATTATGTTTCTTTCATGTGCAGGAAGTAGAGGAGCCATCGTGTTGTCTTTTCATATATCTTTTTGTTCTTTTTCATATTTATAAGTGCAATTTTTTCAGCGATTCTTATCCAGTCCGAAGTCATATATTAATCAAGTGACCGAATTAATATACCAGAACAATGTCAATGCAAAAGAAACCAAAATTTCATCATGGTCAAGATATTTGGGTTCCAACGATAGGACACTAGTCTAAGTACATTATAATATGCACAGATATGAAGATACTAGTGTTGGGTGCATCAATATCATTATCATAATCGACGTCACACTTGTTCTAGAGATATTAAGATATCAGGGTGCGTTTACGTTTAGCTCGCCGTCGTCGCCAGACACGATGAAGACACGGCATTAATCCTCACAGTTGTTTTTTCGTCATGGTCGTCATGGTTGCACGATGCAACGGCAGAAAGAACATTTGAGTGCTGTACCTTATGACTTACGGGCTACAACAAGATGGAGGTGGGCGTGGGTACAAATCAATGTAGTACAGCACCATTCTTCTTTCAACATGATGATAACTAAGAACAAATAAACTCTCAAGATCTGCAAGCAGATGCTGATGAAAATTTCATGACGAAATTAGAATTTGTGGTCTCACGAATTCCCTAAGATAAAGACTCCAGCACCAGCACATTACTAATGACCTGTACTACTACTACTGTCAGGACGGTCATATTTCGAGTTGTAGATAAAGATATCAATGAATGTATATATATTTAATAATGCATTTTGACAGATGAAATCGTTCAAGGTTCCAGACGAGAACGTTTCACTTATATCTAGAGAAGTTGATAAAAGAAGCTAGACGACATACTGCTAGTATGCTATTTCATTTTGTCATTTTTCTGGAGATCGTCGTCGTAGGTGGATCATGTTGGCCGGTTACTATCGCTATCCGCACCACAATATCAAAAATGAGGAGACATAGCGGACAACTTCCTCCTTTGTGCCATACGTACTTTGATCATCCACTAGACCCGGAGAATGTTGTAACCAGAAGCAATGGGAGAATGATGGAGATGCTGAGCCTTTATTACCTGATATTTAGGACATATGCTTGTTGTAATAGAGCCTGATGTTCCCTGAAGATCACGTTCATCATAGATCAGTAGAAGCGGATCTCCTTGTCCTTCAATAAGACAGTAGAACCGACACATTGTCATTGATTGACTAGAACTGCTGCTAGGTAGACGAGGATTCACAGAATCTGTTAAACAGAACCAGAGGAACCACGAGAAATGATAGACACAGTATCGGCTCGTAAGAGCGAACAATACAATACAATACAATGCCACTAATCTCGCTTTTTTTTGTAGTGCGAGCGACTTCCGATAAATCAAAACCTACCTGCGTATTTTCCGCGTAGCTACCGGCGTAGGGGGGAAAGAAGAGACAGTCAGAGGAAAAGACTCAACAGAGGCCAAAGATTCATTGGAGGACAACCTCGGCTGACTCTCTCTTCTTTTGCTCAACTCCCACCGCGAGGGACACTCTCTCCGTTTGCCCCTCTTCTGTTCTCCGAGAGAGAGACATCTTGCGTTCCTCTTGCTCATCCAACTGTTTGGCTTTTTACCTCCACGCGACAAGGCTTTGTCACAAAGGGGACATCGACATGAAATAGTTTTACTTCAACGTGATCGTGAAGGTGTTGAGCAGACCACGAAAGTAGATGCAATTCTGCACTTGTTCTTACTCAGAGAAGTCCTGCACTTTGTGTTCGCTTGTTCGCTTTATCAGTCCATCATGTACTTGTTTGCGCTCAACTACAACTTACTTACGACATCCTACAACAGGGTTTTTCTTCATCCACCGACTCCTCCAATAACATGTTGAATGTTGTCTCTCGACTTCGTCATGGAGGTGGACAAAGTCCAAGTCGTCTTCGTCTTCATATTGTTGTATGCGTATAGTGTTCTTGGACGCCTTTCGTGTCTCAGAATCTTCATATAAATATCTTGTTGGACGAAGACGAGCACCAAAGTCGATTTATTCACAACAACGAACAACTACAAGAACATAGAAACAGTTTTGCGACGAGATAGAAGAAACATTTCGACGATTAACCGGAGCAATGATCCAAACTAGAATGAGTGCTAGCACCGCACCAACAGGAAGCAACAAGGTATTGTCAGCTCTTCCTCAAACCACTAATCAAAAGTTCTGTACACCAACTATTATCGCATATTCATTGCGCGCGTTAATTATATGCGACAGGACCACTCAAGACATATGTTACTCTCTATTCCAAGCATAATTTCAATCAATTTCATCAATGTTTTCAACGAAGATACGGTCCTCGTCCCCGCTTTCCGGTTCCCTTGGGACTCCCGCTCCCCTTCATCGCAGATCCACGACTTGGTGCCTCGTCTCTCAGTGCTTGTTCTCTTATCATTGCTCTTAGAAGACGAAGAGATCACAGTAAAAACAAAAAGTTCTCCGACTACATCTAGTATGACGTTGTTGAAGTGAAGACGAGCGTCGCTAATGTTCATAGTCTCAGAAAAATCCAAGAAGGAAACTGCAGCAAGTGTTCTGTGAAGAAGAAACTGATCTATCATGAATCAAGTATCAAATGCCCCTTAATGCTCTCATTCGTTCCTCGGCCGCTGTTAGTCGTTGGCGGTATGCCTCAATCTGCTTTGGGATCAAGGACTTGAGAACTTCGAGACTCGCTTCTTCCTGCGTCTCTAGTGACTGACAGCCGTCCACGACCATTCGTCGGACCTGTCGTCGCTCAAACTGCACTTTCGACAATTCGAATTTCATTACTGGCAGACCCCTAAACTCCGTCCACGGAGGCGCGTTGTCGAAGGTGCCCTTGCGATAGCAAGCATCTTGCTACTGTTAGACGAGCAGGAAGTTGCACTTGTACCAGATCATGAAAATGAACATTATTTGAAGGAAGATGAAGAACATAATAGATTTCCTCCATTTTGATGATGTGAATTTTTCTTGAGTAGTACTTAGAATAAGAATGTGAAGGAGATCCACTTCTGAAAGCGAACAACCGGATCTCCTTCACATTCTTATTCTAAGTACTTACTCAAGAGAAATTCAACTGAAATTATTGAACAACAAGAATACGTATACGAACAATAGCAATAGCATCATTATCAATCACTCAGGGTGTCCGTGTCGCTACAGGGCACCGACCTCCCCGCAGCTGCGACTGCCGCACCTCTACGTCCCTAGACGATATGAGCATCATCCATAGCATTAACATTATGTCCCTAGTAACGGAGGACACCAGCAATAGTACAACTACTTTCTTCATCCTTAACACATGGCTTGCTTCAGTGTCGCGTCCGCGCTCTTGGCCGCGTCATCAATGTCTTTGGTTTCCAACGTGGAGATGTCTAGCTGCATCCGCTCTTCGCTAACCCGGTCATCTCTCCACAAGGCTTCGCTCACCTGGGTTGGTGAGGAAACGTCAAGAAATACTAAATAGAACAAGGTGGAGGACCTTTACCTAACCAGTACTAGAGTAAGTTAATCCAAATTTGAACTGTGTACTGTAAAAAACTTTTCAAGCCTGAAACTCGATAACAATACGACAGTGAATTACTATTACCGTTGGCTTTACCATCATAACATCAAGCAAGTAGTACTGGATATGAAATTCTTCATCATACAAGATTCATAATTTAAGTGGATTATATCAGTGGTCAAATAAAATACTCTGCTTTTTCTATTATTTTTGTAAGTAGTTATTTTTAACACCTCTGCAGCGAACTGCGTCTGTGTCTGTGTCAAATTGTTCATCCGCTCTTTCTCCCTCTGAATCGCCACAGTCTTCGGTGTAATCGTCGCATCCCTGCGTTGGACGGGAAAGTTAGTAGTAGAGGTGGCTTGACCTAGGACTATATTGTCATTCTTATCCTTTTTAATATGAGAATGAGGATTCACAACATTTTAGTGGAGAAGGCAGTGTGAAAGTGAATGTCTCAATAAAAGATGCTATCGCTATGTGCATTCGCATTGTGGTGAATCAGACTCTTAACAAAATCAGGGCTGGCGCCATGCTCTACGAGACACTGCACGGCAGATACGGCGCCGCTCATCACGGCAAGGAGCAAAGGGGAGTTGCCGTTGTTGTCGGCGCAGTCGATGTCGCTGCTTGAAGATATTTCTGAAATCTTCTCACGGAGTGTCTCCACTCTGCCGGAGCGAACGGCGTCATGCAGGGGAAACTTGCTCATCTTTGTGCTAGTCCTAGTGCTTGAGCTTGTGCTTTTGAGAATATTGACGTTAAGGTTTACTAAGTTTATGAAGATGTGATTTTCATATTCATTTTGGCCTTCTTTCTTGATATGTGTATGGAAATGGATCTGATCTGCAATATAATGCTCTTCCTGAAGTAGATGAACTTTACCTGCAGATAAGGATAACTCTTGGTGACTATTTCAAGCAGCTAGCGGAAAAATTCATTAGATAATTGGCCACATACAGCACAAACATCGTGATACAGAAATGGTAAAGGAAGAGCCCACTCAGCAATATGTTGGCAAAAGAGCATCTTTTGCAACATTTGTAAGTAAGCAGAGTCTACCACATGCATGCGATTGTCCCTGTTGCCACCGTTCATGGTGACCGTAGAGACGTGGTCTGACAGTATTTCTATGATACAGAGTCTACCACTTCCTCAGATGAAGACATTTAAGACCTTCAGGTCGTACCAACTCATCAGGATGAATTTGATGTCCAATTTGTGGTCGGTCTAGCAGTGGAGATAGGATAGGATAGGATAGGATAGGATAGGAGGATGCTCACTTATGACAGGGAGATAGAGGAGCAATCGACGACGAACATATAAAAAGAAAAACATCAGCAGCATCTTGGTGATGGATGATGATGATGATGATGATGAGGATGAAGAAGGATCTTAGTCATAGTCTTACGTCGCATCAAGATCATTAATCAGTCTCAATATTTAAGTGATATTTGTGGAAGAGGATAACAAGAACGCTTGTAATATTTTTGTATAAGCACTCTGTCTCTGACAGTCATACTTCTAGTGCAAATATACAAAGTACAACCAGTTCTTGTAAGAAGAACTTTAGTAGAAAAAGAAGTACGACTTTGTCTTTCTTAACTAGTATGACTTCTTTAGATAGAGGAGCTTCTTAGATGCATCCGGCTTCCCTTGATCAACTCCTTAATGTTAATTCACCATTGATGATGAATTGTCGTAAATGTCTTTGCCTTTGAATTTGATCTGCTGGTCGTGCTGTCCTCCTTTCTGTCTGCTCGTTTTTTTAACACGACTTTTGCTACTGCTCTGAAGCTTTATCTTGATCTTGCACCAAAGCGGTTTTTACGAGATGAAAATCGAGTTCGAGAAAGGAAAGCCACAAGAAGAAAAATGATAAATCAGCAAAGAGCAATGTTGTCAATAGTTTCATGTTTACATATAAATATCTTTGCTCCTATATGTGCATCAGCGTGTGCAGGTGCACCTGCTGGCGCTAGTTTTAAATGAGTAGCAACGCGGAGCTCCTCTCTATCATGAAAATTCTAATGATCTGATTACCTCTTCTTGTCAGGTACAACTTGTCCTCGTATTATTGCTCCTATTGAGCATGGTCGTATTCATTCTATAAGGGAAAGACAATATGATCGAGATACAAGAATCAGCCATATCGAGATAAGATTATTAGCAATTATAGCAATTCCAATTCGTAACAAAACAGAAAGAGCAGAAACGAGTTCAACTCGACACTACTACTACATTTTTCATCCAAGGTCGAAATTATTCAAGTGATGTAAATCTTTATGTTTTCTAAGTGATGTAGAACAATAGGTATTGTGGTCCTCCGGATTGCAAGAAGTGCATAGTCTCTTATTTTTTGTCTGACCTCGATCGATTTTGTCTGACCTGTGATAACTACATGGATATCTACTGTAATGACTCGTGGTGATGTTCAAAGTTCATCCATGTTGTACCGATATCAATAAAAAGTGGATAAGGATTTGGTAGTGGTACTATATATAAGTATAAGTATAATCAGAGTCATCTTCACCTACACGTACTTACACCTCATCAATAAGAATAAAAATCGTGGTTCTTTTATAACTCGTCTCTTCGTTCTGGTTCTCAGTTTTCAAGGTCCGGCACATGAAATGTGTTGAACATTTCGTCGATTTGCCTCCATTCGTTATTTTTGGGTCCAAGCTCATCCTCCCAGAAGGTATTGGCATGGTTCATGTCGTCAGGATGCTCGTTTATATACGCTCGATCTGTAATCCTGTCTTGCTTCCAGAGTCTTTCGGTCTCTACTACATAGTGACCTTGTTCGTCATCGTCTTCGTCTCCTGGGGCTTCATTGCTCCTAATAACGCGGGCACGTCGTATCCCTTGTTCTCTCAAGCTGGCAAAAACTTCATCTTGACCATCTTCCGTTTGCCCTCCCCTCGCCCTCCATCTCTCTGCACGTGCGCGTCTTCTTGCTGAAGACACCTTGGCTTTTGCGGCTCGAACTGCTTGGTTAAGGTAGTTATGCGTAACAATCTGCCATTGCTCACCCGCAGCTTGAGCATAAAATGCCAAAATGCGCACAAAAATCTCACGGACTGCTAAATATTGTCTTCGACTGTTTTTATCCGCCTTTTCAGTATCTGTCAATCGGTGCGTCCTCAGCTGAGGATGAAGACGTAGCTTAATTGGTGCGTTTTGATCTTCATCAAGCAGTTCTTGTTCATCTGCTTCTAGTACTAGTTCGTAGTTTAAATCTTGTGCTTCCAGCTTCTGCTTTTCTAGAAATACAAAATCTCTGAAGAGCGGGACTCCCGTATATGGATCACCAGCCAGGACTGCTGCTGCCTTCAGATGCGCCTCGACCAAGAGCTTTTTGGTCCTCACAGATTAGAGAAAACGAAGTGAAGTACATCACATTTTATGTGGTCCTCTACTGTTATAACTTCGAAAACAACTAGTAGTACTTCAAGAACTAGTAGTGAAGATAGAGGACGTCGTAGAGGACGTCGTAGTATTCGATGATCTAGATTACCGTTTTCAACAACATGTTCATCTCGATCCACAACTTCAGGCACTCTCACTACAACCACATGATCCCATCAACTTCATCCATCATCATCAACTACTACTACATGTACATTCACGTCTAGCTCATAAGTTTGAACGAGATCAGGGCGTGCACGAACGCCGAGATGGGGATTCAATTTCGAGGACAATGGCGTTGCCTTTGTCTCTACCCTGTCCATGACCACCGAATTCGCTGATGCCGCAATGATTTGAGCAAGAAAGTCAGGGAATTTCGCGATTAACCGCTCAAATATGTCCAATCTCTTGTTTTCCTCTCGACTGAGGGCAGGATCGTGATGTTTCATTGGAGGGAGACCATCATGACCGGGGTCATCATTAGCGTCGTCATCGTCCGTTGGTGCAGAAACAGCTCCGGTTCTAGGAGCGGCTTTAGCTGCGCGACTATTAGAGGTAGGCTTTTGGTGCTCGCTTACCCCGCTTGTTATGCCTTTCTCCCTTAAGAGAGGCATAAAAAGCGGTAAGAAAAGCACCTTTAAGTTTAACCTACCCTTAAGACTAAAAGAAGTTGCCGCTTCACCAGGATGGCCATCCACTTCCACTTTATCATCTGCAGGAACTAACGCAACAAGGTCGACACACTCTTCGAAACTAGTTTTTGCTCGAGGTCTTCCGAACTTTGCCAAATCTCTCCACGTGGGATGATTGAACAGTGGGTGAGGGTAGATCGGATTCCCATTCGGGTCGTGGCCGACAGGTTGTGCAGGTTGTTGAGGTGGTTGCTGAGCCGATCCTCGGTTATTTCCTGTTGCATCGGGCTGTGGAGGTGGCTGCTCAACACCAGGTTGTAAAACTTGATCTGTAGAAGTTCCGGGAGACGCAGTAGTACTAGCCATGCTTTTCGCGTAAGCGGCTTCCGTAGCTCTTCTTCTTCCAGTTAAGAAGCGAGTCAAAGTTAGACATATAAGTGAGGATGAGCAAGAGGCGACTTACTGCAGGATGATGGCAGGGAATAGGAATACCCAGTTCTTCAGCGAAGAACGCGTGTACGACGTGAACGTGTAGACTCTAGTACTATTCAATTATTGTTCTCGAGAAGTAAAACTAAAAGATCTCTGTGATGATTGTGTGTGTGTGAATTTTTTATCGTAGTTGTACTCCACCTACTCGCGCATCCTCCTAGACCTAGTGAAGAACAAGATGCTACAATTCCTCATGAAATATTAACAACTACAGTAACAAATTAAGAACTTTTTACATCATCTTCATAACATCACATTTTGGAAGAATGCTGGTCGCTCTGCGGCAGCCTTCTTGTGTAACGAAAGAACCGAGTCGTGGTACGTCTCAAAAAAGAATTCGAAACCTCGGACGAATGTAACAACCATTCCTTCGCGCCGTCGCCAAGCTTGTTCTAAGGCGATTCTTTCATTGTCTCTTCTAAAGTAATCGCGATCCCTTCTTTTACCACGCATCCACGCCTGCCAAGCTGGGTAGTTCCCACTTCGAGACGCATGAGCCGTAGGAGTCCCAGCATCAATATCGGCCAAGTCTGATGGGGTATAATCCACAGCGTCTTCTACTTCCTCCTGGTAATTCATGTCCCTAAACCAAGAAAGCATGGAGCTTGATCTTTGCAATTCTGGTAGCGGACGCATCATCGTGCTGGTGTGAAAGGCCGCATGATCAGTCACGTCAACATGCATGGCTTCCAGACGACGTCTTGCGACCGGATCCAGGCTTGGGAATATTAGAAAAAATCAGCTCAAAAAGTCTTTCTACTGTTCTTCTGGTGGAAGAAATGATAATACAACGGTATTGAAGAAGATGAAATAATCGTCCTGGCCGAAGAGGACGACCACGTCCACTCTTGTTTATTGAGCAGTCTTAAGTTATATTCATCTTGGCGGCCGAAGTCCTCCGGTGTCAGGTGCAATTCTCTTAGCCGCCGCTGTCGTCGTAGCCACTTGTCGAGCATATTTTTGAGGGAATCGAGAATCTTTGCTAAAGCCACAAGCAAACCTTCATCTTTCAACAGAAGTTCCAACGGCAAGTCCTTGCTAGTTCCGAAGGCGAATCTGCTAACTTCCTTGTTAGAGCGACCGCGTTGGTCCCTGAGAGTCATATCCTTGGAGGGCTTTTCTTTTTCAAGTACTTTAGACTTGAAAAAAAAGCCGAGTAGGATGTCTGGTGCTGAGGATGGTTGAGCGGTAGCCTTAACCTTACGATCTCCAATAAAGATTTGAAACCGCGATCCAGTTTCATACTCGCCATTTTCAAAGGTTGAGCGCGAATCGGATGCGTCTAAAATTTCAACCAAAGTGCTAGCCCTAGTGCTTTCGTCATTCTGCTCAACGTCCTGCTTTATCAGTGCCACTTCGGCTTCCTCACCAGCACGAGCACGACGCCCCTGCTCCTGCTCGTCCTTCCTATTATGATCCTCTTCTTGGCGATCTGCTGCAGCAACATGTTCATCTTGTGGAGGGAGAGTGCCGAAACCTTCTTCTTCCTCTGCACCAGGAGGAGTCGGCGCACCATCTTGACGTGGATGATATGTCCACCAGAGTTCTTCACGGGAGGTTGTGTGAACTTCATCTACCGAGAGTGAGTGAGAGCCACCTGCTTGAGCTGACCCGCTACCACTTCCGGAAGGACCTGCAGCACTTCCAGAAGGGCCGCCTCCTTCTCCGGCTGCAGAGGGGCCAGCACCATTTTTACCACCCGCACTCCCGGAAGGGCCAGCACTCCTGGAAGACGCACCAGCAGCTCCCCCACTTTCAGAAGCGCCACCGTTTCCTTGACCATCTCCAGATCCGGTTCCTCCACCTCCACCCGAGGGTGGAGGCTTTCTCGGATCATTCGGAGGCTTATCGTCCAAATCACCGTGTCCAAATGGGCTTTCATGCATGTTCAGCCTGTCGTTTCCTCGAAAAACTAAGGCACCCATATCATCGAAGAGCTGTGGTCTGAAATCCCAAAAATTTTGGGGCATCAGTGGTTCATAATATGGCAGCTTGTACTGTGGGAGAAGTCTCACATGTTCGGTAAGTGCCTCATCAACTTCTATTTCTTCCTTGGTTCTTTCCTCCATGGCCGGATTTTCGCGCAACAGACTGTATTTTTCCAATTCCTGTAAGTTAGAGATCGGCAGTCAGTGGTCACTCTTTCTGCAGGGACGAAATCGACAAGACTCAACATTATAGTTCAACCGCTCTCACACTCACAGTCAACTTTTCCCTTGTTTTCCCCTGACTCTGTTCCTTCTCTCTTCAGAGGGTCCGTCTCCTCTTCGGAGGTGTCAGTGACTCCTCTCAGTGACCACTGAAGTCTGTTGAGCCTTAATTAAGGGGACACCGGTCTGTTGAGAGATGAGATACAATCCGAGTCGGCGAGCAATGCCCTTCTTAACCCTGATCGCGATCCTCGCAGTATTTTGCTCCACAGATGAGGGACGACCGGCAATTCGCGACAAATTGGCATTTCCTACCTTGTCCACCAATCGCTCGATGACGTAACGAAATTAAAGCGAGTGCCGCGCTAGCATCCCTGAGTCGTGGATGATCGTTGGTCTCTTTTTCATGAAGTAGAGAAAGAGCCAAAGACGACACTGAGGATCATGCTCGAGCGCTAGCCATAACGATAAAAGACTTGGTAGTGAGAGCCGATAGCGGCATATAGCGTCCCTGCATTCGGGACGACTAAAGGAACAACCTGAAGGCCTTCAGAGTTTTGGGCTGGACTTCTTGGCTTGGAAGATTTGGAGAGAAGAGTAGAACTAGAAGGACCTCCGCCGGATGTTCTAGGGGACGAGGCAGCGGCTTCCCACGCTGCTGCCTGGGAGCGATTGAATTTCTGCGCTTGCTTCTTCTCTGTCATTTCTCTGTGTAGGTGAAAACCTGCCTTCAGATTCTCACGCATCACTTTTCGATCATGACTGCGTCCTAATACCCTTTCGTTAGTGGTAGAGTTCTACTTGTTGTAGTAGATGTCTCTCATTAATAGTTCCTCTACAAGAAGTTCTTGTAGTAGAAGCTTCCCATTAGTTCTTGTAGTAGAGGTCTTTCCTTGAAAATCAAAATCTTACAATATCCTCATTCGGAATGAGTCCCGGAGTTTGAGTTGAGTGATCGTGATAGAGATAGTCTATAGAATGATAGAGATTTAGTACTAGAAAAAGTGATTAGCTGCTGGCTGAAAGTGCTTTCCTAATAAATAGAATTTTGTCGACGTCGAATATGAGTCATTTTGTCAGGAATGCGCTCACTCTTACGAACAGGGGGCGGCGGGTGCCACCTAGTACGGGAAGATAATAATCTGAATGACCGAAATCAAGTGACTAGAAGTAGAACTAAGAACTATCTTGACTAGTACTAGAGCCAGGCCTTCGTCTACAAATACACTCAAAGTCTTAACAGGAGGACCGTCTATGCAGCTACCGGGATTGTTCACATATTCGGATGCGTAGGGGTCACGACGGTTGAAGTGTGTGATATCCGAGTCCACACGAAGCCCAAAGAGTTTAACAAATTTGTTCTCGAGAAGAGAGACGCTTGCAAAGTTATGTTGTCCTCTATCATGTCTTGAACTTGATGTTGCAGTCGTTGTACTGAAAGAAGTTGCTGTTGCTGCTGCGCCACCCACAGGTGGCCTACTGCTGATTCCGATAGAGGTTGAAGATGCAGCGGCTGTGCCGGTACAAGCAAAAGGCTCTTGAGGTCGTTGTATACCGCTTGCACCAGTCGCATTCTCTGCAGGTCGTTGATCTCCTTGGTGCTCTTCCTCTTCTTCTTTCAGTTTCTTACGTGCTGATTCCAATTCGTGCTGCCTGTCATCCAATCGGCGCAATGCGCGATCAACAATCTCTCTTTCGCTCTTAGTATTACGAGGCGAGTGGCTGGAGTGCGGAAGCGGAGCTAAAATCCTACCACCTCGTACTTGTACTACTAGTTGTACTGCAGCCTCAGAGCTATCAGAACTAGCAAGAAGATCACGTCGAGGTTCATCACCACGACCTACGACAACGACTCCACCTGAAACGCCTTCAGCCTTTCCGTTTGGAACTACAGGAACTTCAGCTGGAGGCGACAAAAACACTTCTAGAAGTTTATCGATAATGGTTTCAAGATTGACCAATTTGTCATGTCTAAGAAACGACCACTGCACTGTTTTCCAAAATCTTCGAATTCCCACTCTATACTCCTCCTCTTTCGACCAAACAACTGTAGGCAGATCTACATCTGTTTCGGCGACCTCAGCTCCTATAGCAACAAACTCTGAATTATCTGGAAGAATTTTCATCGTGGAGTCGTCTTGCACCAGATTCGTCACCTTCACGCCTTGTTCTTGTGCATCTACTTCCATTTCTTGCACCAGATTCTCCAAGCCTGGTACAGGTTCTTGTGGAGGAGCAGCTGCAGAACTTCCTGACTTTCCCAGTTTTTGGTTCTTCAGACCTACTCTCGAGCGCGACGTAGGACCTGTAGCTTTATGATCCGTTGCAAGAAGTCCTTCAATTTCGGCCTCTACTTTGGAGGCTTTTTCATCTCCTTCATGATAAACGACTTGCAAGTCGTTGTCTTTGTTGAGTAGAAGCTCTCTGCCCCTCGAGTTTTCGGACTTCACAATCGAGGACTCTTGCACGAAGTTTGAGTGCGGATCGATCATATAATACGCAAATTGCCCTTTTACCTTGGAGGAGTCTTCGCCCACCGTCCCAATAAACCGCTCACGAAAACTCTTCTTCGTAGCAGCACTATTAGACCGAGGTATCGTCCTGAGATCATCATCCTTGTCGTGGTCGTAGAGATCCCTCAAGACTATGATAATGTTAATGATCACTGTCTCCCTTAATATAAGACAAGAGTATACATTATACAACCCCTTATAACAACATTTTTATTGCCGAGTGCGAATCTCTATTCCTATAGAGATGGATCAGAGTCAACAGAGCTAGTCTTAACATTAAGATTTGAAGCTAGAGGCTGTTCTCCTGCTGTTCTAGCTCCCCTTGGCGTCCGACTGCGACGTCGTTCGCGTGTTCCCTTTGGTCCTGCACTTCTACGACCTCCTTGTGTTGAAGCTGAAGGTAAACCTCCCCTAGTACTTGCAGAAGTAGACGCTCCAGCAGCAACAACCTGTTCAAGTTTATCTTGTTGTTCAACATCTTCAACATCTGAAGCAAGCAGTTCATCAAGGTATATCCTTTTTCTATCCCTCCTCCTGTCCTCCAAGTCCTCCAGAAGCTGAACTTGTCTCGCAAATATTAGCTCTACGCGATCGAGCAGGCTTAGATCCCTCCGTACGTTGATATCGTTGACAGAAGTCGGCATTTTGGGTTTCGGTATCACATTGATATCGTTGACAGAAACATCTTCAGGGTCAATCACTGGAGCCGCGTAATTTCGCAGCACGCGAAGCACAAACGCGCTCATCCGCTCTCCTTCAATGTCTAAGAGTTGTTGTATCATTTTTCTTTTCATTTTTAGAGCTTACGAGGACCCCAATTTCCTTTTCCTCCATCATCTTGGGAGCAAAGGGTGGACTGTTCTTTCCACCCTATTGCTATTGTGCTGTGGGACATCAGCAACAGTTCCAAGATTAAGTCGATGCTGTTACTAACTACTCTACTACTACTTACTACTAAAGTAGTACTATTGATGCTTAATAAGATGATGGATGATGCAGATGGATAAGGGTGAAGAAGTTCTTAAGGATTCCTTTTCCCGCATTTCCGCGAATCGAAGTTGTCTAAGTTCTCTTCGTTCCTTTGCTAACGCTCTCCTCCTTTCTTTTTCCTCCAACTCGACTTGTCGCTCCACCGTGAGGCTCTCACCTGTATAGTCGCAGAAGGCTGGCGAACTCGAAGTCCTGCGAAGTGGAGGACAAGCCTCCTCCTGCAGCTCTTGTTCATGGCGTCCTTGCAAAAAACCACGAGAGGGAGCAGAAATGCAACTGTCGTCTACGTCTAGTTGTTCTTCTACCACATGATGATCTACCACATGATGATCATCTACTTGCATCATCTGCCCAAGTACTTGTTCGGCTTCATGCGCAGCAGCTCGCGCAACATCAGCTTGCAGTCGGTTGAAAGCGCTTAAACCTTGATACAGAGCTTGTTGTTGTTGATAAATCGCTTGTTGTTGTTGATAAATGGCTTGTTGTTGTTGATAAATGGCTTGTTGTTGTTGATAAAAAGCGTGATGCTGTGACGCAACAGCCGCCATTTGGAGGTCTATATTGAAAACGTGCAGAATCGCATCATGCCTCGTGGGAAACTTCAAGCCTGTGTCCAGTAAGAAGTCCATGAGTGCGCGACTTTGGGTATGCATCATTCGTTCTCGATCAGGGAAAACTGGCCATTTGTGTAAGGCGACAGAGAAACGGTAGCTCGTGTCTCCACCCGTCGTCAAGTTTAGTGGTTGCGCTATTGCATTACTCACAACATCCTGGACTTCTTTCCTATTGCAAAACGAGTCAAGAATGGTAGTGCCGAATGCAATTTGGAAACCCTTAAAAAGTCGTGAGCTGACAACTCTTCAACAGAGGCTGTATGAATCAGCTCGATTGGTTCATTTGCTAGTCCATCGTCTGTCGAATAGAGATTCATCGTTTGTAACCAATCCCAATCCGGCAGCCCGCTCGACTGCTTGAGGTCTTTTGAAGATCCATCGGCTAAGGCGTAAAAGGCCTGAGGCAGGAAATAACGTAATTCTTCAGCTTCTAGTAAGTCCTGCTTTTCTCCCCTCCGTTCTCCTTTCCAAATGTTGATCTTATGTTTATCCCATTTGTCTCGAAATTCGTTGAGTAATTTTGCAAGCTTGGGGGCACTACCGGGACCACTGGTGGCGGCACGAGCAAACAACTGCTGCAACAGCGTGTCGATGTCTCTTTGTGTTTGTCTCTCTTCAGTTGTCTCTTTGTCGAAAGAGTACGCCAGTGCCTCGCGCACCAATGACCACAGCCTCGCCTCTTGTTAGCGCTAGTTTTTTACTACCCCTGGCTGTGTGGCATGCCCTGCGTTCCCCTTATTTTCCCCTCTAAATCATGAAGAACTCGCCCACTCAGCAAACCGCACATGGGATAGTGATAAGCTAGCCTTAATTTTGAGGTAATCTGGCTTTGTCTTCTAAGTTTTCTGCGGTAGTCTGACTTCTCAGCTGTCGGTCGAACAGATTGCCAAGCGCTTTCCAAGCGTCATTCGAAGCGAGCCTAGAGCAGTTTGGCGATTTTTTGGCATCAAAAAAGCAATAGCAACTTACCACAGAACGGAAAAAGGCTTCAGTATCGATCCGAATGAGGTGAGAGGGCGACGGCAAAGCTTTATTACAGCCCGGCATGCTCCTCCAAAAGAACCAGAACCACGCGGACAAGCCTCGGCACGTGGACACACGACACAATCGAGCAGAGAAGGAGAGAGGGAGACACACAGACAGGCACACAGACTCACTCCAGCACGGGGACAAGCGAGGGGGGCAGACTGATGGACAACGCAACGACGCAACCCGCGAACGTCTGCGCAGAGAGATGGAGAAAGAGGCAGGTCAGCACTAAGCCGGAAAGATGCGTGGACACGGAGGAGCGAGAGAGGGACGCCGAGGACAGAGAGGACACCGAGGACACCGAGGGCAGAACGGACACCGAGGACACCGAGGGCAGAACGGACACCGAGGACAGAGGGGACACCGAAGACAGAGAAGACACCGAAGACAGAAGAGACACCGAAGACAGAGAAGACACCGAGGACAGAGGGGACACCGAGGACAGATCGGACACCGAGGACAGAGGGGACACCGAGGACAGAGGGGACACCGAAGACAGAGGGGACACCGAGGACAGAGGGACACCGAAGGCAGAGGGACACCAAGGACAGACGGGCACCGAGGACAGAGGGGACACCGAGGACAGAGGGGACACCGAGGACAGAGGGGACAGAGGGGACACCGAGGACAGAGGGGACACCGAGGACACCGAGGGCAGAACGGACACCGAGGACACCGAGGGCAGAACGGACACCGAGGACAGAAGAGACAGCGAAGACAGAGAAGACACCGAGGACAGAGGGGACACCGAGGACAGATCGGACACCGAGGACAGAGGGGACACCGAGGACAGAGGGGACACCGAAGACAGAGGGGACACCGAGGACAGAGGGACACCGAAGAGAGAGGGACACCGAAGGCAGAGGGACACCAAGGACAGACGGGCACCTAGGACAGAGGGGACACCGAGGACAGAGGGGACACCGAGGACAGAGGGGACACCGAGGACAGAGGGACACCGAAGACAGAGGGGACACCGAAGACAGAGGGGACACCGAGGACAGAGGGACACCGAGGACAGAGGGGACACCGAGGACAAGCTTCCCGGGGGGAGTCACTCCTTGGGCCCCTTTCCCTCTCTCTCTCTCGCGGGTCGCTTTCTACGCCTCCCCGTGGCGGGTCGTTTTTTGATCTCCTACCCCTCTACCCTCGCTCCCTCCCTAGTGCGGGTCGCTTTTTACGCCTTCCCAGGGCAAGGCAGGCCGCTCAAGTCAGCTGCGCGGACACTCGCTGAGGTAGGTGGACACAAGGTGGGACAGGCTGGCCACGGAGACAGCTGGGCGAAGACAGCTGGGCAAGGAGTCAGCTGGACAGAGGGACAGAAGGACACTAACGAAATTCCATCGGTCGGCTTGTAGAAATGTAACCAGTACTGTATTCCGTTCGCTGCGGGAGAATCCGCGCTGCTCCCTCGTAGGTGCTCACGGTACTGAGGAGGTAAGGCATTTGAATATCCATCCTCCTGCATCTTCTGCAACCGCAGCTGAGTCGGAGAGTATTGCCATTCGATACGTCGATTGTGCGCAGTCATCTTCTGCACTTGCTCAAAGCTCACTAAAAGCCAATCATGGTCTTGGGGAGGTGCTTGCGGCTGTAGAGAGCCTTCTTGATCTACTGGAGGTCCTTCTAGCAAATCCAACTCTTCCTCAGTTAGTGGGAGCTCAGACGCTGACGCCTCTACCTCGTGCATCTTTTTCAGATATTGCCGTAAAGACCTTCCCGTGCTGCAGGCTTCTTGTACTCCTGCTTCTTGTTGTGTTTGTGTGCCGCGACAAAGCAAATCTTCTACGGTAAGAGTGCTAAATGTTGTGCCTCTCCTGTGCTGCATATCCACTCCTGTCTTTGCGTGGTCCTTCCATTCTTCCATCCAGAGACCACATTTTCGATGAGCTAAGGTCCTCCGCTGGCCATCTATATTCAATGCAACAAAAATGAAGAACTTGTGTCCATCGCGCATCGCTGCAGCACGCATAGCTTGTCGCACCTTTGTATGCCACTTCGCTGCTTGCTGATAAAGACGCGCGACGACCTCAGCCTTTTCCAGGCGAAAAAAATAGTCCCGCATGTATTCCGCGGATGTCGTCTGTGCGTGTTCTCTTTCTTGTGCTTCCGTAATGAATGGCGCGGGTGGCTGCGTCAGATCCTGAAGACTAGCAGCTCCCACACTTGGCAGCAAAAACGAAGCACCTGTCTGTGGAAAAGCAGCTGCAGAAGCCGCAGCTGTAGAATAACTCCCTCCCTCACGCGTAGGCATTGGCATGATAGGAGAACCAAAAATATCTTGAAGTAACCGGTTCGAAGAAGCTGTTGGTGCTATAGGGGGCCGGCGCCGAGGGTCATGAGGAATCTGCTCAGGCTCGGTGGCAGTGGCCAACGACCACGACCCCGAACGATTAGAGGAGCTTAAAGCAATTCACTTCTTCCGTCAATCCGAATCCTAACAAGGAAAAGTAAACAGTGAGGAGAGAAGAACGAAGTGACGTGTTGTAGAAATGAATTGCATGATTGAGCCTTAAAACAAGTGGCCATTTCGTCAGAAAGGCGTAACACGCGGCCTACTCTAAGTAGAGGACCTGACTTCTTGTATGATGCGTCGTCACGAGCTGCAGGCATCCACCAGTCGGGGCCTTCTGCAGCTTGTTGTTCACGAACGCGAGAAAAAATTTCAGGTTCAGGACTGGAAGGAATTTCAGGCTCAGCTTGTTGTTCACGAACGCGAGAAGAAATTTTAGGTTCAGGACTGGAAGGAATTTCAGGCTCAGCTGGTTGTTCACGAACGCGAGAAGAAATTTAAGGTTCAGGACTGGAAGGAATTTCAGGCTCAGCTTGTTGTTCACGAACGCGAGAGGAAATTTCAGGTTCAGGACTGGAAGGAATTTCAGGCTCAGCTTGTTGTTCACGAACGCGAGAAGAAATTCCAGGTTCATGACTGGAAGGAATTTCAGGCTCATCTTCAAGGACATACTCAAAAAGGGTATCGGCAAGGTCAATGGTAGAAGGAGGTACATATGGTACTAGACGTAGACGGGGTTCTTGATGAGGTACAACTGCGCTGCGGTACGTGGGAGCACCTTGATAATCACGATATTGGACGCCATACGTGGAAGGTATCTGTTGCACGCCGTAAGTGGGAGCTACGTGATGTTGTGCTCCGTGCGTGGGAGCTACGTGATGTTGTGCTCCGTGCGTGGGCGGTAATTGATGTTGTGCGCCATACGTGGGCGGTAATTGATGTTGTGCGCCGTACGTGGGCGGTAATTGATGTTGTACTCCGTACGTGGGCGACATTTCCCCATTCGTGGATGAAGGAACCCCACCAGCAGAGGAACTCTGAGGGGGATAGAGTGCTTGGTACTGCTGGAGAATGTTCAGTGTTCGTTGCTGTTCTTGTGTTAGACGCTACCGATATTCATCTTGAAAGTCATCCTTGCAGTCATCTTCGCCCTTGAAGGGAAACGCTCCAAAGTCGAAGATGTGTGAGCACGCGGAGGGCCTTGCCTGCGACATCATGCTTTGTGATCGCCGTCAGAGCGGCGCACGCAGCCTCTTAAGATGAAAAATCACGGCAAGCCTACTTCTTAACTGTGATAGTCTTCCGCGCATGTGAGCCGCTTGCATCATTGCTGCTGGGGTCTGAAGGGAGGCTAACCAAGTGTTTCGCTGCATTTGGAGTATTTGATTGGTTTGGTCATGTAGTACAGAGTTCCACTCTGGCGGAGCGCGTGGAGTTTCTCGCTGAGTGACACGATCGACATCGGCTCGAGGATCAAACTGTCGCGCTGGTGCGTCTATTGTTAGAACTTACATAAAGATCGATTCGTCTTGGCTAGCATCATGGTTCTTCCCACTTTGTTCCCCGCAAATGAAACGGGAGGACCAAGATCAAGATTCCAGGGAACATCAAGTAGAAGTAACTAAGAATACATAGATGCGTTTAAATCTATTGTACAGCCTTAATATCGGCGCTACTTGAAGTAGAACGCGATTCAGAAAAGTAGTGTCCTCTGCGAAACAATAGTCCTGTGCTCTGGCGCAACCCTCCCAGATGGCTTTTTTCATTTCCCGGTTCCAAAAACTGCGCAAAGATGGAGGCGCTAGACGGAACGATGGAGCGATAGGCTGTCTTTGATTAGAGCTAGAGTAGCCCAGATCTCGCTTCTCGAATTCATCTTCTTGATCATCTCGAATTAATTTGATAAAGATAAAAGCTAGAAAGTTAACTGTAAAAATAGTCGCGCCCTTCTGCTTCTTCGTCTGCTGTTGTTTGACACCGTGAAGATGAAGAAAAACAAATCATGACGAACCAAAACTGCAGTACTATGACTATATCGACTCGATCACGATCTCCTCATATAATTAAATGAATGGAGAAACATAAACAACTAGCACAAGTACAACTATCACTACTTGTAGTAGATTTCAGTCATAACTTCTGAAGCGCGTGTCTCCGCTGCCTTAGCAACTACTAACTCCATCTCCTTCTTGTATCGTCTTTGATAATATGCTTTCAAACGCTTGTGCCGGGTTCTCGCACTGGGAGAATCAGCATCGTGCCTTGATGTACCTGTACCAAATACTTCATCATAGAGAAATACAACACGTCTGCGTACTTCGCGTGTAAAACATTTCTCGGAACCAAGAAAACGCCAAAGCTCAAGTTTATTTCTGAGGTCCCTGTCGTGGTCGTCGTCCACGTCGCTGCTCGTTGTCTTTTGTTCTTCTAGAAGTTTGTCGCTTTTATCCATGTTTACACGATCTCCTTGTCGAAACATTTTAGTTATTTCGTCTGAAGAGCTTTTTTCAGCATCGTTTAGGTTCAAAATCGCTTGAGCGTAAGTCTGTGCAAAAAAGCGGCCACACGGGTTTCGTTTGCCCCACAATAAGGGCTCCCCAAGATCAACATCCCGTGCTGCGCCAGTTGTACTAGTCATCCGACTCGTTCCAGAGGGCCCTCGTCGCGCTTGAGATGCGTCTGCGTGTAAACCATAACCCTCCTCGTCTTCACCTTCAGCGTAAATCGCAGACAGCGAGTCTTCTTCATGTAATACGGGATCATGTTTATCTCGAAGATGTGGCTTGCTTCCGCCGTAGACCGCTGCTAGCCGCCGCTCCTCTCTTAGATACTCCTGTTCGCTATGCTCCAAACGAGAGCGAGACAGACGCGAGGCATCGACTTTCGAGTTTAGAACTCACTACAATCCATATCCATCTTTTGCCCCATCTGTGCTCCTGCTGCATGCTGGTCATTATTCTAGTACTTGAAGACATCAGCTTACAGCTTACAGATGAGCTAAAAATACATGAACTTGAGAAGACACCAGTTTACAAATGATCTAAAAGATGATGATGGTGATGGATTATCGACTTACGTGAGACCTTAACAGGTCTTGTGCTTCTTTCTCCATTTCCATCATTGTGTGGGTGTGCGTGCACTTCGCTTCCACTTCCTTTCGTGCAGACCCGTCAGATGAATTCCTCGTATTTGCTGGAACAAAATAGGGATCGGGGTCAAGCTCTTCAGCTTCATCGTGGCTAAAATCTTCTGCTGCTTTATCGAAAGCAGAATTACGTTCTTCGTCGGCGATCTCTGCTAGCGTTTTTTCAAGATACCACGGTGGTTTGAGGTTGAGTCCTCCGTTGATGGATCCGACAAAACGGCTAAACGCAAAAATAATTTTCTTCCGTTCTTCACCTTTTTGCCATTTCCTACTGCTCTCATGATCGAGTTCTAGTTGTTAGACGAGGACGACATTGCCGATATTCATCCTACAACTACGCATCTGTGGCTTTGTCCAGAGATACCTCTTTAGATGAATTATGGCAAGCCTTAAAGTTGTGCAGCTTGTTGTTTCTCCTGTGTCAGTTCGTCTGCCGATTCGAGTTTTTGACGTTTCGGACTACTTCCAGCTACGCTACTACTAGACACACCTGCTGCACCAGAGCCACCTCCTCGACTAGATTGGCTTTGACTTTGAGGAGCAACTTTGTCAGCATTATTGTTGAGGACGAGATCTTCATACACTTTACCGCGTGGCGTTTCAAGACTATGACGCCTGAACGCCCTTTGTTGGCGATAAGTCTTGAGCGTCAACGTCCATAGTCGGAGCATGCCCACTTGCACAAGATTGGGATGGATCACTAGACTGAAACCTCTGGAATGCCAGCCAGGTTGCATCTCCCAAGATGTTGAACGCTGCTCCTGCTGCTGCTGTTGCTTTGTGACGCTTCTTTCTACATGTAGTTCTAGTGCATCTGCTGCATGCGTATCATTATCTTTTGATAATCCTGTCATCTTAGTCTTCACCTGCTCGCTAGTGATTGGCGGATGTGGTAGGAAGGTGCGTCTGGATAGAGTAACAGCCTTACTCTCCTCTTGATCTGAAAGATCTTGGAAGAGGAAAAAGGATGTAAAGTCACTGAATCCTGCTTCCCGCCTTGGCACTCGAAGAATCGTGTTTGCTGCTCTATTATCACTTCTAGTGCTGTCCAGATCTCCTTTACACGATTGCTTCTCTGAGAATCTCTTTAGAGGAGATAAAAGGTTTTTGCAGGCCAACCTATTCTATATATCATCCATAGATGATGTGCAAGTACAACACCTAGTAATTACTCATAGTACAACACTTACACAAGTGAGTACAAAATAATTGGGTGATCTGAGGTGGTAGTGGTTTTCAAAAGAGTTTCTTATGGCGGAAAGGCAATCAAGTGCATCTACTTACATGTCTGACTCCGACGGACAGTAACGCAGAATTAAAGAGTAAGCACTCGTCGCCTTAATTTCTGCAGTGGCCGTCTCTCGCGAAGTTGAAATGTGTAGTCATAGCTGGTGCGAGAGCGTCCAGGGTGACGTCCTTGGAGACATTTCTGTGACAAGTCAATCTCGTCAAAGTACTGAACTAGTTCGAAAGTGGACGACCTTGAACTGCATTGTTGCTTCGGCTTCGTTTCGCCATCACCATTTCCTTCTCGATCTAAAACGCTACTCCAAGTCGGCAGCAAACCTTCTTCGCCCAGTGTCAGCGGTAAAAATGCCTCAAAGGTGCTCTGCAAATTTTGCCACAACAAGTGGTTGAAATCTTCGTTTCTACTTTGTGCAGCAGCTCCTGCAGCTGGCTTTGCAGTAAGGCTAGAAGGGATCTTTATGGATGACGGAGGTTGTACCGTGGTTGTCCTGACAGGAGGCGCACTCGTAGAAGTTTCCTCTCCAAGAAGAATCTGAATCCAGGGATTTTGTTTCTCCACAACTTTTTCCTCCTCTTGTTCTTCTCCTCTTTTATGACTTTCAGGAAGCATCACGACCACAGCATCTTCGTCGGAGGACATTAACTTGAGGGTAAGACGCATGTCGTGAATTAGCTGAAGAGAGGTTCTTCTTCTAGGTGAGCGTCCTTTTTGTTTTTCATCGTCGTCGACCTCGAGCCGTCTCTTTATTTCCTTCTCCTCGCAGCTAACACTCATTTTACCAAAGGATCTCTGGACTTGATGAAGGGTGTCCTCGTGGTCGTCTACTTCCATCATCGCGTGGTCATCCTCACCTTCGCCCATTTCCAAATAAGGTGCAACAGCCGCACGAAAGAGGTGGAAACGTGGTGGCAAGGAAGGAGCTTTTTTGGGCTTTGTTACTTCTCCTTTTGAAGAAGAAGCTTTTGCCTTAGCCTTTGCCAATAAAGGGTCTTGTTCTACACCACGACGTCCAGCAATTTTTGCCTTAGTCCTCTTACAACAAGATGGAGGTGGAGCATCGCATTGGAAATCCGATCCTGAGTCTGAATCGCCCGAACCCGAAGTGCATTCTGACTCGCCTTCTGGTTCCGAAGACGAACTATCTCCTTCACCAGACTCCTGGTCATCCTGCTGCATCTCGATGACATCTGTGTCGCCCACGTCCAAAACACGACTATCGCTATCCTGGTGTGACTGTTGTATTTGTTGACCTTCCAGCACATGTTGTCCTCTCTCCGCTCGCTCCGCTTGCATCTCTTTTTCCATCATATGAAGATCTTGACGAGGTTCTAGTTCTTGATTCCCATCATGCTGTCCTCGACCTCCATCATTTGCGAGCAAACGCCTCCAATATGCATCCCCCTGAGAGCCCTGAGCCTCTGGAGCAGGTGCCGGGTATTTACTTATGATCCTTGTCCAAACCTCTCTAGGTACTGTATTCACCGGCAAAGACTTTACAAGCGATACAGTATCGAGTTGCCCTTGTTGATGTTCCACTTCTATTGTTTCTTGAGGTATTATAATATGTTGTGGAGGCCTAGGCTCGGCAGCATCAGGACGAGGATGGTCAACAACTTGTTCATGCTGATGTTCTCGCATCATTGTTGCATCACCTTCACCAGCACTGCTTTGAATTTGTTTTAGAACATATCGTCCTTCGACGGCCTTTTGAAGCGCTCCTTGCGCGACTCTTGAAAGGAGATTGTTTCCCTCCACTTCTCCAGAAATATTCTTAAGCAGTTGAGCCGGACCATCTCCTGCCCGAGAGGAAGCACCAGGCGCCACGGCATTTACTTTCTCAAAATCGAGAAGTAGCAATATTGAAAAAATTGTAGTTGTAACCATCTTTATCATCAAGAAAATCGTTACAAAGTACGAGAGAAATACGGGGGTGCAGCGAGTGAAATAAAATCTCCTTTTTGGGGAGCGTGCGCGTCGCTCCACCAGGAAAAAGGGAGAAAAAAGGGTAGGAAAAACCATCATATTCATAGTTTTCATTTTTCACACTTACTTCTACAACTACTGGTACAACTGGTTTAGATACGGATTCGTAATGCGGAACGGTTTCATCCTCATTATTTTTGTATGTCTTGGTGTCCTGTTGTTATTTGGGATGTAAAAGTATCGTGGAGTTTGGTATTGCTAATATTGGCTCTAATATGTTGATCAACATAAAAACTTGTACTTACTCTATGTCGACGTCGAGAAAAAAGTTTTTCCACTACAGTGGTTCCTCGAAGATTGAAAGCCTACGCTGTTCAACATTGCGCACTTCCACTTCGACTTCTGACCATGATTTTGTTGCATCCTCTTTCTTTTGTCTTTAGAAGTAGAAATAGAAATAGAAGTTGAAGTGTGACAAGGGAAAAGGGATCATGAAGAAAGTCTTCCTCGTGTTCATCGTCCTTTTCATCCGTTTCAATTCAGGTCTATTTCATCCGTCTCAAGAAGCTCCTTCATCCTCTACACGAGAGACTCAAAACACACGCTGCCAGTGCTGTTCATCCTCTACAGAGGACTGCACTGGTCCTCCTGGTTCTTGTTATTTTTTTGGTTCCGTACAAGTACAGTGCGAGTGCTCTCAAGAATGGCTCCTTGGAATCGGATCTTCAAAGTCAATGTTGTTCTTCTCTCCAATGGTGCCATAAATTTCCTCTGTTGATGAGTACTAGTACTGATACTGATTGAATAAGATCGATGGTCATAATTAAGCGAACTACTATCACTATTGAACATAGTCTAAATTATAATCTGGTGGACCTGAGAGTCTCAGGCTGAGACGAAAAAACAACAAGAACTTCTTTACTCCTACTCGACGTATAGACATGATTTCACATTTTTCATTTCAGCATCTGCATGAGAGTGCCTGTGCCCCTGCTTTTGCTTATCTCAATTCTCCATGATTACCGCTTATCTGCGCTCGTCCGCGACACACGGGAGCAGCCTCACACCATCCTCAATCTACAGTAGCTGACGGATCCTGCTGCATAAGCATGTCTAGTCTTCATCAGTCGTTTGCGATTCTGTTAAACATCTCGTCAACTTGCGAATAAGTCTTTCTGGCAATCTCCTTGTGCCAAAATGTGTTTGGTATTGACGCATCGTCTTCATGCGTGCCTTTTTCTTCTGTAGTGATCATTAGAGCTCGTCTATACCTCTCTAGTCTTAGTTTTTTGTTCTCGCTTACGTTTATAAAACGAAGTAGTAGGTCGAGGTGGACTCATTAGAAGGAATAATTTTTGGTAAATCATAAGTAGTTTCAAGTTTGTTTATTTATTTTCAGCATCAACATCATCATCTTCTAATTCAAGAGTAACAAATACATCCTAAACAGGTTGGCATTCAAATTCGAATGGGTAGCTGTTCATCCACTTAAATAGTTGGGATCTTGAAAAATACGTCAATGTTGAAGATATTTCGATTCCTTGTGCTGGTGGGAGAAAGATATTAACTTTTCGTAAAATCATGTCTTGCAGGAAGAGGGAACTAGCCCTGACGACTAGAAGCCCTTGAAGATGATGATCGTTCCTTTCTGGTACGTTTCGTTCGTCGCGGTGGCGCAGCTCTCTTACAACGTCGCGTTCTTCTCTGAGAGTCCGGAGTTTTCTCTTGTGTGTGACGATCTGCCATTTCACGCCAGCGACTTGAGCATAGTAAGCCAATGTACGCACGTAAATTTCCCGGACTGCCAAGAAGTGGCGTCGCTGGTCCTTTTGCGTCTTCTCAGCTTCCGTGAGCGGAGTGAGTTGCGGAACAATCTTGTTTTCAGGTCGTGGTTGTTCTTCGTGCTCGGGCCGTTCTTCATCTTCCAGCATCTCGTTCTCTAGAAAGACGAAGTGTTCGAATAGCGCCGAGCCGGTCAATGGATCGCCAGCTAGAACTGCTGCCGACTGCAAATGTGACTCTACCAGTCGCTTTGTCATCGGACTTTGAGCTGGGTCATTCCATGGCCAGCCTTCCAAGTTCTCCAAATTGTCGTTAATTCTGTCTTCGGTTCGCTGTCCGCCTGCGACTGAGTTTGACGATGCGGCCAATATCTGAGCCAGAAAATCCGGAAAGTTCGCGATCAACCGCTCGAAAGTATCCAATCTACGATTCTCTTGCAGGCTCAAATCGGGATCATAATGTAGCAACGCCTCCTCACTATCTCGGTTTCCACGATGCTGCAGCTGTTCTTGGACGTGAATCGTATCATCTTCCACCACATGATCTACCCGTCCATCACCACGACCCGGAAGATCATCAATATCTCCATCCTTAGTGCTAGGTGAGGAAGCTTGTCCTGCACCACGTAGTAGTTCACGACTAGCAGCACCTGCCGCAACGGTATCGGTTTGAAGAAGTTCATAATTTCTTTGCCACGCTTTTGGGACGGTTACGACCAGATCAACGCCTTCCTCAAGGACGCTTTTTGCGCGAGGCCTCCCAAAACTGGCGATTTTTCGCAGCGCAGGATCCTGAAAGATATGGTCTGGATAAATATCATTGCCATTCGCGTCACGGCCAACGGCAAGGCGTGGATCAGGTCGAGGGGGGTAATCTGCAGTACCGGAGGAAGCGGGGCCTCCCAAGTCTATGCGTTTTTGCTTTCGAGCGCTCGTAGCAGTTCCTCTCAAGGTTAGAGGCTAAGTAATCCTATTTCACGATTTCCACTCCTACGATCTTCACGTCAAGGGAGCAGTGTTGTTGTTTATCCTTAAATTCTCGAGGTTGCGCGTTACTTACCTTCACAAGAGCCTCCATACAAAAACTCAAGAAACGACATCATTCGCAGCCGTGCTTCATCCACCAATGAAGACAGCTATCTCCACGACTTCGAAGACGCTTTACTCAATAATTGCAGTACAACTAGAGTCCTAAGTAGAAAAAGATACAGAAACAATATCTAATAAAAACTGGGAAGCGTGAGACAAGAGCCGAGAAATACGTATAATTACGAGGATAATCTAAGTACTTAATAAAAAAAACTACGTCTTCTTCTACGTCTTCCACTATCATCTGACTCTTAATGTTATCGGTATGAGAGGTGCGAACGTTCCGACTCTACGATTGGAATCCGACGTCTGCGCTTTCGTGTGTTCCCGAAGAACCTTACTGTGATAAGAATTCATCATGTACTCGAAGCCTCGGACGAAAGCAATAACCGTGCCTTCACGACGACGCCAAGCAGCCTCGTGAATGACTCTGTCCGGACTCATAGAAATCCATTCTAGCCAGCTACGTTCTCGAGAAGTACCCTCACCGCCTCCATCAGCATTTATTCTTGCATCATCACGAATCTGAGGCAACGTACGCATCACTGTACTTGTATGAAATTCAGCGTCGTGCTTTTTCTGAAAGTGCTCCTCACCTCGGTCACGGTCAGCATCGGTTCTACCTGTCGAGGGTTCTCGTCCAGAGCCACGACCTTGTTCCTCCGACCCCGAGGCTGATGGAGGAGGGGGCGTGAAGTACTTCTGTCTTAATTTGGTTTGTCTTCCTAGCCATTTGTAGAGCATATTCTTCAGCCCGTGAAGAATTTTAGCCATGGCAACTAGTAAGTGTTCGTGCTGGAGGAGAGGTTGCCTCGTCTCTGCGGGAAAGAGAAAAGCAAACTGCTCTACTTCCGCTGTGCTGCCGATGAAGATCTGGAAGCGAGGGCCATATTTGTACTCTCCATTCTCAAATGTAGCTCTAGAGCCGGTTACGTCGGATGCCAGAAGCTCTACCAAAATCTTGCCATTGTCCACCTGCAAGGCCTCTTCTAGCGGCACAGGTGGAGGGAGATTTCTGGTGTCCTCATCATTCATAGCACCCTGAGGCCCATCATCTTGAACCGGGTTGGTGGCGGCGTTGACGTTTCCATCTCCACCAACTTCTCTATGGACAGATGCATGGCCAACTTTTCTGCCGACAGATGCGGGAGATGGCCCACTCATCGTCCCTCCAGAAGAGCTACCTTGTTCGCCACTGGAGCGTCCGCGCTCCCCTCCGACAGTTGGCCCATCTCCATCTCCAGACGGTGGCCCTGCTTCTCTGCCTCCTCCTCCTCCAGCGCCACCGCCTCCCGGTCCTCCTTTTCCAGCGCCACCGCCTCCCGGTCGAGGTCGCGGTCCTCCTCCTCTAGCGCCACCGCCTCCCGGTCCTCCTCCTCCAGCGCCACCGCCTCCCGGTCGTGGTCGCTGGTTTCCTTCATCTTCGTCCCCGGTTGCATATGGACTCTCTTCCAAATTCTCAACATCGTTCCCTCGTAGCACCAAAGCTCCCATTTGATCAAAAAGTTCTGGTCGCGTGTTCCAAAAGCTACTCAGGGCGTTGAATTTACTAGACGCTGCACAGCCATTGAGGCCATTTGCGTTCGGAGTACTCGATGAACCGCTTTGAGCTAGAGCCATAAAGGCTTCGCATAGTTAGAGAAAGACGATCTCGATGTTGTCCAGAAACTATAAAGTCAGAAATAAAGCGTATCGCACAATATATATTTCATTTCAACATCAATGTCAAAGAGTCTTGGAGGAAGGACCCTGATCATGATGGTGTGTGGGCTCTTCGAGGGTAGAAATTTCGTGTATTTTGATTCACGTTTTGAATTTGATTTCGACTTTGGCCTTAAACTTTTGCCCTGTCGGTCAGCTGCTCTAATGGAACTCGTCCGGCATGAGAGGAAGTGTAGTCCGAGTGCGCGCTGACATATCCCGTGAAATATTTGTGACGGTTTTGCTTTTCCAGTTCATGCCTTCGATGGTCATCTACGCCATTTCCTTAGAGAGTTCACTAAGACGCAGACCGCACAATGCTTCTAGGAATATATAAGACAGCAAGTGAGGAATACAAATCATAAAAACTGAGACCGAATAAAAGATAAATTTGTGCGAAGCGTGAGACCGAAAAATAAAAATTACTCTTCAGGTGATGTAGCTTGTAGAAGTATCAGCATTAGCAATAGCACATTAACATAATTATTTTATTATTGTTGTGGTATTAGGTAGCCTGATTTTGATCATAAGGGAAAACAAGAAGAGAATCCTTGTGATCAAATTCTACCTACACCAGAACCATTCATTTATTATCGCGTGGAAGTGGAAGTCAAAGTCCTGAATTCAAATGAATTTTTCTTCAACGTCATCGATCAGTTATTTCATGCTTTTTGAGAGTGCAGGTGGCTGAGCCGTAACTTCTGATACCTTCTTTCTGGTGACGTTGCCCATGCCCAGCACAACTACGGCCACCAGGTGCAGCAGGTATTAAGGGCGAAACACCCAAAAATTGTTCGAAGTATCTTTGTCGCTCCCAAAAATAATCGTCGAGTCGCCGACACGGCTTACCAATGTACTGCGAGATCACAAACATCGCAATCCGAACCCTTCGTCTCATTTCCTTCATCTCTACGAGTACGACTTCATCCTCTACTACACCTGCTTCTTCTAAATGTTCATCTTGATGCCGCTCCTCTTCATCCTCTTGTAGCCCTTCTAAATAATGTTCTTCATGCTTCTTAGATGTTTTATTAATGGTTGCAGGAGCCTTCTGCTTCTTCATATTCATCACTGAGGACTTCTCCTTCTCCAGAGAAATTCGGTATTCTCGTGCTGCATCCCGGACTTTGTCTACTAAAAAATCAACGATGTGCCGATAAAATGCTTTGTAGTGCGTCTCGATAGCGGCATACAGAGTGTCGGCATTGGGGATCACTACGGGGACATGATTGCCATTGATTCGTGCAGCCAGATTCTTCTCAAACATCTCCTTGTCTAGGTGCTGGGCTCCTCGTAGAGTTCTGCGTGTCTCTACCGGACCTGGGTATCTAGTCCAATTCGTATTAAAGCTATCCCCATGGCGACGTGGCCATTTATTCACCAGACAGAGTGCTATAATTATACGACCTCATCGAAAATATGAATCAATATAATCATAACTACGATTGGGCATGATCGTGGTCCCAACATACAGCCAGATGGCCAGGCGCCGGTAGCTTCTTTTTTAATTTTCTTGCACTAGTTTAAGACTAAGCTCTGCTCGCCATGAATGAAATGCAGCAAAGATCCACAAAGCCCCAAGGCATTAAGCTACAGAAATGACCAAGATCACCAGGCGAATAAGGTAACCCATGCGCGCTATTCTCACAGCGTTCGCCATAGTTGGCGCGGGCGTCTGTGGTTTTCACAACTCTAGCAAACTCATCCAGAGCACTACCCAAACGCCTGGCAGGTTTACCGCTTCGCGGGTGCCTCTGGTTTCTCCTCTCTCGTTCGTTGTTTCAATCTCTCAGCTCAGTCAAAGACAATAAAGCTAAAGCACCACCAAGAAGGCCCCAGGGAAGCCCATAGACGTAAACGCGCAGGGCCCCCGCGTCAACGATTACCAAGCGAAGCGAAAGACCTGCAACATTTTCAGGCGGAAGAGGTAGCGCATGCCCATAGCTGTAGCCGGGTCCGAGTCCGTGCCATCTTGTCAGTTCTGACCAGTTCAAAGCGCACGAAGATCGCCGTGGCATATTCATCCCACGCAGCCGGCCTCTTTTCGTATGATCTGACGCGCATTCATCGAGAGGGTTCAATTAGGTCCAGACGAGTTCTGACCTGACGAGAGCGATCGCATGAAGCTGATGGCGATGGAGTGAGGACATCCCTAAGAGCACGCACAACGCTCCCCACCATGATACCCCAAGAAGCAGCGGCGATTGCCTGGCAGCCCCTTCGAATACCCACAAGAATCAAACCAGCCAGGGCCCCTTAGTTACTTGCCTCACGCCGTGAGTTCAGCTCGCACCTATCAAGAGCGTCGCCCCGAGTTTCCCATCGAGAAACTGCGCTTGACTTTCTCAACAGTCTGCGTTAGTTCTTGTGGTCCAGCAAGTTTTATTTTCAAGTTGAAGTTATTTATTAGGATTAGCTCATATTCATTTCATAATTGAAGGAGCGGATCCATCTCGGTAGCGAGAGCTGTACGCGTTCCCAAACGGGTCGCTTCGATCGAAATGCGTCATATCGGAATCCACTCGCAGGCCAAAGAGCTTACTCGAGCTGTTATTCCACGTGTACATATGGGCCCAGGATCGCAATGGGGAAGAAACTGGTGGACGAAGGGGTTCCCGATTTCCTCCTGCTCCTGGATCACCACGGTCACGAAGTGGAAATATTATATATTCGAGTAACTTATTGAGGATGAAGTCGATCCTCAAGAATTTCTGGTGTCGAAGAAACGACCACTGCACGTCCTCCCAGAAATCCCGTATCGATTTGGCACGAGCGTCCTCTTCTGTCCATTGATAGTCACGACTTTCAGAAACATCAGCTGCGCCCATTTCTATTTCAGGAGCAGTCATGTGAAGCACAGGGCTTCTTGAAGATCTTTTGCCTGCTTCTGCTTCTGCCTGCTCTTTCACAGACGACAAGAAACCAGCTGCCTGATGATCTGCTGCTCTAGTGGCTTGTTGCTCTACCCTGCTTGTTGCTAGGCCAGAGTGGGCTTCGTGATCGTCTTCCGAAATCTCAGCAGCACTTTTCACCCTCATTCCTGCTTGAAGGTCGGAACAAACTGAATCTTCACTGTTATTCACGTTTCGTTCTTCATCCAAACCGAATAGACGAAGGTCACTCTCCTTATCGAGGAGTAATTTTCTGCCACGTGACAGTGGTCTGTCGTCAACTAGGCTGGATTGAACGAAGTCCGAGTGCGGATCCATGAAGTAGAATGCAAATTGACCCCTCACTCCTTTGGTGTTTGCAGGAGATGAACCACCTCCAAGGAGGCTGCCAATGAGACGCCTTCGGAGCCTGCTTCTTGCTGCAGCGTTGAGACGAGTGCGAGGAGGGCGCACTCCTCCAAGAACTTCGTCGCCGCCCAATTCTTGGTCCCCCATGCCATCTTCTGCAGGTCGTCCGACGCCCTCTTGCCCTTCTTCTTGTTCACCCTGTGGAGGTGGAGGTGGCCGCAGTGGTGCTGGTGATGGTCGAAAAGAAATGCCGTGGGTTGCCTCGACGCAGTCGTCATACAGCTCGCAAAGATATTCGATTTCCGCGTCTTCGAAGGAGCCCGACTCTAGCTTAGAGCTTGACGAAGGTATTGTAAGACTCCGATGGAGATGGAGTGCTATTTTTACTTACTAATGTTTGAACCGAAGAAGACCAAG